TGGTCCGGTCCTCTTGGGGAGACGACACCGCATTAAAGTCCCTGCCAATAAGGAGAGGACGATCAGAAGGACGGGAGAGTTGTGCGAGTAGGTGGTCAAGGAAAGGTTTCTTATCAGAGTTGGGTCCATACACATTCCAGAGGTCCAGAGACTGAGTGCCTAGTTGTAGGGATAGAAAGGACCATCTACCATATTTTTGGTTGCAGCAGTGGTCAACTACTGTGTGTGGCAGGGATTTGTTAATGAGAGTGATCACTCCTGCTGAGTGTCCCGCTGCTGGAGCACCTATAGCAGTGCCGACCCAAGATTGCTGGAGGCGAGAGATGTCGGCTTCCTTAAGGTGTGTTTTCTGGAGGAATGCAATGTCAACTTTAAGGCTCTTGAGGTGACGAATAATCTGCCGTCTTTTGTCGGGGTATTTAAGGCCCTTGACGTTCCACGTGAGTAGGTTCAGGGGGGTTCAAATTCATCCAGTGGAATCAGGTGAAAGATAGAAGGTGAGAGGATGTCATCGTGAGGAGGTGCATTAACGGGTGTTCCAATGCTCCTGTAATGGCCGGAGATGCTAGGCTCTGTGAATGAACGAGTAGTTGAGGTATAGGTTTCTTGTCCCCCTTTAAAAGTGGTAGAGTGATGAGGATCCATGTGCGAAAAACCATGGTGGTGGATTGTGGTTCCGTAGTGAATGTGAACTGTTGAGAAGTTGGTCACAAAACAAATAAAAACAACTCCTAAGAAAAAAAATATGACAAAAAGGAAAAGATACCCTTCAGTACGTACTTCCTTTCTTCCCTAGTGTGACTGCTCTCAGGCAGGCGGGAGGCAACCTGACTCCCATTAACTAAATCTGCAATCCGGTGGAAATTGGTCAACGTGAGAGCGTTTTCTCCGTCCCGTCTTTGGAAAGATTGACCGACAATAGTCAAAAGTGTGTAGGCGTTAAACACATAAGCAACTGGTAACATAAAAAAATAAATTGAGTAGAATTAAACAGTACCTGCATGACTGAGGCATTTCGACCTCAACGCCCATGGTGTGAATGCCCATTACCCCGAAGGGAAGCTTTTCCCGCACATCCAGGGACCGCCCCAGGCTTTTTTTCTTCCTCGGCAGGCTGTTTATCGGGGAGGAGGATGATGGTTCATTCCGAGAGTCCAGGAACCTCTGAGCTTGAGAGGCGGCGGAGAAACGCCAGATTTTACCATTGTCAGTGGAGAAGAGCAGGACCGCGGGATACTGGAGCGCAAATTTCACTAGTCTACGGACAAGGAGTTGGCATAACTCATGGAACAATTTTCTCATCTTAGTGACTTCAGCGGAGTAGTCTGCAAAGAGAAGTAGTTTGAGGCCCTCCGCCACCAGATTACGTTGGGCCCGGTATGCTTGAAAGATGGTGTGTTTGTCATGGTAATCCAGGTAGCGCACAATAACCGGCCTGGGTTTGTTGTCATCCCTGGGCTGAATAATTCTATGAGCTCTTTCTACTTTACAAGTGCCGTCAAGGTCCATGGCTTTAGGAATAGTGTTGGCGCGAAAGAGGCGTAGATTGTGAGCCTTGACCGACTCTGGAATGCCTATCACTCTTAAATTGTTGCGCCTAGAACGATTCTCCAGGTCATCTACCTTGTCTTGTACAAGCCCCCCTATGTGAAAGCATATTGGCAGTGACATGTACTCTTTAGGGTGATACTGGGGGTCCAAAAGTGTATCACTTTTACACTTGAAATAAGCTATTGAAGTGCAGGTTGCACTTCGGTAGCATATTGCTGAGCTTCAGGAGTCCAGCACTGACAGCTATGGGACTAGAAGTGATGCGATCTGCATTGCTCCCGTTCCCATAGTACGGGGAGGAGATCAGTCAATGGAGGTTCGCCGATCTCCTCACAAGCTTCCCCCCGACACCAGAGAAGCCGGTTCCGGGCCTGTAGGAGGGGCAGCGGAGCCCGGGAAACACGGCGGGGGTGTCGGGCGGGGGGTGTCGGGCGGGGGGTGGGCACTTTACTGGCCCGTAGAAGAGGCAGCTGAGCCACCAGAATCACTTCTACTGTAAAGCCAATAGTCTGCTTTACAAGTTTAAACAGATTGCCGGCGGCTGAGTCTGTTTAAAAGGGTCTGATGCCAGTGACGTACTAGAAACGTCACTGGTCATTAAAGGGTTAAGCAAAAGAGGGTGCCAAAGAGTAACAATGCTGCCAGAAACACTACACATGTCATGCCACAAGCAACTGGACAAGGAAGAAACCCTGACAGGATGTTCTGCTGCAGTTCTTCCCCATGGAGGTATATCTGGGCATGTTCCTCGGTTCGCTTATATCACAATATCTTAGTGTAACATAAAGCATTGGGTGGTACTGGCCTGCTGCATATGCTACTCTATTACATGGCTGCAGTACTAGGTAGACTGGCAGATAGTTTTTTTTCCATACAGACACTAAGCTGTGGGTGTCTATTGAGCAGTACCTTACCACTGTTCCTCTGAAATCCTGGCTACAGCCAAAGTATCATCCACCTCTCAGCTCCTTTCCTCCTCATGTGAGTTTGTTTATTGATGTCTAGGAGAAGGCGATTTGCACATACAATATCTCATCTTATGAGGGCCCTAAGACAACTGTCCTGGGTAAGCCTGGATTTCCACCAAGCATGCATTGCCCTCGATTCCAATGATGTCAGCTGTCAAAAAATGATATTGCGAGGGATAAATCCAGAGGGCCTCAATCTCTTAAGAGTCCTCAGATCCCTTACTCTCTACTTGACACACATTGAGAATACCTGTATGTGTAATGATGACTGTTCCCACATTCTCTGTCAACTATATGCCATTCTGTTGGGCAATGCATTTCCACACCACCCTTACTAAAACATAGATAGGGAGAGGGAGCTGAGTCATCACATGGGCATAGTCAACTCTGACTGTGTGAAATATTTCCAATAGAGCCACCCAGACACAGGAACACAATTATTAAATTCTCACCAGGTGGTATTGCTGCTCTTCTGACTTGTCCAAATTCTGCCCAACAGCATCCAATAACACTGGCAATGTGGAGACGAGGCGGGAACAATGTCCCATAGCTGGTGGTCCTGCAGGCTTATTCAACTCTACTGGCGCTCCATATTTCAACCATGCACCCTGGTGAAGGGCTCTCCTTGCCACAAGACCTATAAAGTAGCACTTATTTCAATAGTACTGTGATCCTTATAAGCTGCCAAAAAGGACCACTTCCAGTTTCTCCTCTCTGCTGGTAGAGCCCTAATACCCAGACATTAGATGATGCACACTATTCCTTCAATTGTGAAATGGGTTAAGGTACTTAACCACTGACCACTACCCAACATGTATTGCTATGTGGAGCACTTCAATAATTTTTTCTGGTTCGGTCCATCTGCAACCATACCTGCCCCAGGCATTAGGACAGGACCAAAGCCCAACTTCTGACCTAGGATATGGCCCAGCGGGACCCCCTCCCTTTTTCACTATTTCTTCTCTGATCTTATATGTCTAATTTTTGCTTTTGTTCCCTAACTTCTTCATATCCCCATAGTGCGGGTACTATGCCACTATATGACATCTCAACTATCCCTAACCATGATAATGGGATATTGGCTGGTGCTTTCACAGCATATTGTGAGCCTCCCAACATCTTTTCAACACACCATGTATCATACACACCTCATTTTGCATTGCACATATGAAATCTGGGAGGTCATACTGTCTCTGGATGGAAATGAGCATGTCTACTTTGGGTACACCTCTTGGGGTTGTTGTCTATGTATGTATAGATATGTATGTATACTTATTTGACCTTTATGTACTGCAAAGCTAAATAAATTCTATTGATAACCACTTGATGACCAGGGTGATAAACCCCCTTCCTCTCCAGGCCATTTTTCAGTATTCAACGCTAGGGTACTTTGACTGACATGTATTCAGTCATACAACATGAAGTTAATGTTATATCATGTTTTGGGGACACATAGAGCTTTCGTTTGGTGGAATTATTGTTTGCACTCCAACATTTGTGGTGATATGTAACATGTGCGGCACAATTGTTGTTTTTGAGCATTGGCACACCCAACACGTATTTACAATGGTACATGTGTACAGATGGGGCGGGGGACTTAAAAAATGTGTTTGTTTTTTTACATAGGGGGCTAGCAACCCCCTATGTGATAGCGCATATAAACTGACAGGTCCTCTTTATGGAGACATCAGGGGTCTCTAAGACCCCTAATGTCACCAAGGGACCCCCAAAGAAGCTGATGAAGCAGAGACCTGCTTCACCAGATTCTTCTCTGGCTATAGCAGCCAGATAAATGACAGCTGCATGCAGAAGTGATGTAATACATACCACTTCTGCATTCAGAGAGGAGCTCAATAGGTGGGTGTTTGCTGATCTCCCTCTGATCTTCATGCTGAGAGCCGCCGAGCCAGTCCCGAATCCGCAGAGGAGGCAGTGGAGCCTGGCATAGCAGGTAAAGGTGGTGGAGGTAGGGCAGCGCTGAAAGAGGGGGGCACACACTGTTGGCCACCGTACAAGCGATCAGACGGCTATAGAACTGCCCGACCACTTGTATTTAACAGCCGTTAATGGCTGTTTACAAGCATCAGTGTGTTGTGCTAGGGAGCACGCACCAGCAGAAAAAAAGGCATATATTTACGGTACCCCACTGGAGGGAGCTTGCTGTCTGTCCGTTTATTTACAACGGGTGGATGGCAAGTAGTTAAAAAAAAGAGGCCTAGGTAGGTTTACTTTTATATTTATGCTATAATAATATAGTTTTTGGTGGCTGAAAAGCAAAAACAAGCAATGATACATTTTTTAGAGGGTTGTGTATTGAGGTCAGCAGTATTTGGAAGGGAATTAGAGAGGTGTCAGAGGCATCTAAAGCTGATCCTAAAGGCAAGCTGAAAGCATCAGAATGGATGATACATTTGCCCATTTTCACAAGGATTAAATGCCTAAAACACTAAACACAGATACTTATAAGAACAGGCTACTGACCTTGGTAACTGTAGCTGTAGACTGCAACAGTGGATTCATCTAGTAGATTTTCATCATGGTGCCAGCTCACTGCCATTTGTCCCATGCCAAAATATGGTTCCTCCTTAAGGTAGAACATGTTATGTGGGTTCATGTAGTTAATCAAGGTCACATTATAAGGATGCATTTCATCTTGATTAGTTTCACTATCATTTTCCAAGGATATCTGCTGTGGTGAAACACTAGAACATTGTGCATCTGTTTCATACTGTTGTAATTTAAGTCTTGTCTGGTTATACAGAAATTTATTCAGCTCAGAGAATGCGTTACAGGCATCTGCAAGTTCTTCTGTGTTATACATGATACTGTGTTTATCATCAGGCCATGGCACAGCGAACAGCCGTGTGTTTAAGTATCTGTAGGTGCATCCAGGCTGTCCAATCAGAATACGGGAAACGGGAGTAAGCACATCTTTACCTTTCAGCCGCACAAGATCTTGAAACAGACAGCCATGTTGAAGTAACAATAAAAATGCCTTCTGGACATTCTGATGCAACTCTGCTGGAGTTTCTGGAGCTTCATGGATTGCTAATTTTGCATACTTGGTCTTCCACTGAAAGAAAATTAAGTTTTTTGGGGAAAATGAATAAACAATGCAACACCAGCCCAAAAATAAGATTGCACAGTCCTTATAAAAAAAGTTTTAATTGCCATTTTTTCTTGTTTTAAAGTACATGAAAAAAACAATCATGTCTATGTAAACTAAGAAACCTGGAACAGATTTGTATTGTGCCTCCAGTCATAAGTGTCACACTCTTTTCTAAGGTGTATTACAAATTTGTTATTGTGTCATATTGTGTTTGCTTTGAATCATTTGTATATTATGATTTATTGTGACATTAAACTTAATTAGTTTTTAGCCATTCACATAAATTCACAAACTTTGATAGTCAATGCACTGTGGTGACCACTACTTTGAGGACCCCCCCCAGCCTCCTCTCTGCATTTTGGTCCCTATCCCATAACCAATCACGGTTGTGTCATAAGACATTAACTACTACATATAAACATTAAGGGCTCATTCACACCATATTGTTGTGCTAATCACATGACATCAAGTGTGTTTTACCGTACGCTAGGTGTATTGTGTTGCCATTTACTGGAATGGCAACCCAACCTCCTGGCTACCATGTGCTGTAATGCAGCACGATGTGCGATATAGCAACATTGTGTATTGCAGTGGAAAAGAGTAGCACATGTACTACTTCTTTTCACTGCAAAGCATGGTACCGCACATTGTGCTGTGTTTCAGTGCACGGCAGCCAAGAAGTGCATTGGGGTGTCATTCAAATGAATGGCAACACAAAGCACCTCGCACGCGGTAATGCATATTAGAGTCAAAAGGTTTTTAAGCTATTTCAAAGGCTGATTAAATCCCTTACAATGGATTCTGCTCCTTGATGTTTAAAAGTTTTATTTTCCTGCAGAATTAGCTGGTCCCTGAGCATTGGCCCTGATGTCCTATTTTAGGGTGTTTCCTTTCCCTTGCAGGGCCCTATGGGGCCATCCTTGTGTGCTAGTAGGTTGTGAGCGTCTCCACAAACACACAGGCACAGAAACACAAACCATTCCCCAGATCCCTTCTTCTCCTTTCTCCCTCCTCCCTTCTCCAAGCTAGTAGATGGACAGCTGCTGAAGACTGTGCTGTCCCTTATAATCTTGTACTTGACAGTAACTTTAAAGAATCATCTGAGAGAGATGGACAACAATTTTAAGAACTTCTTTGCTGGTTTGATCTGGATTCATTATTGAAAAAAAGTTTGAGAGTTTTATACTACTTTAACGTAATACCAGTATAATTCATACTAGTGTCCCTCTTCTCTATTCTACATTTGGGGGGCACTTACTTTGCCCGAACTAAAATGTTCTATCACTACATCAAATCATATTCTCATAAACTTATGTGTTTTGTATCATTCTGTGGCTTCATCAATAGTAATAATATTAAATAAAGAAAACAGTAAAGTTGTCTGTGCACACCATAGCGTAGGTAGTAACACACAAACACACACACACACACTAATTACACACTTATATTTTGGGAAGATAAATCCCTCCCCCTCCCATATATAAATTTGCCAAAGAGGGGGGAAAATTTGCCCCTATAGAGGCCCTGCATTTCTGTTAATATATGTATGAACTCTGCTGCTATGACAAGAAACTTGTTCAGTTCTGATGTATAATGGCTTAATTTCTCCAACATAGATCCAATCCCTGCCACAATAGGACCACCTTCTACTCTGGCACATGCTTTATGCCCTTTAGGGCCTGTACACACCTAAGCGACACCCCACTGCATGTGCACGATTCCGTGCAGATTGCTGCACAGTCAAGAGTTGCCCAGGTGTGCACCAATTGTGCTGTGGGTGCCATTATTGTCCAATAGCACCCCAGCCGCACCGGTGGTTCACACTGTTTCCCGTCGCGATTCTGCCCGTACTTCTGCAACAGCTGTGTGTTGTGTATCTCAGAAAATAAAAGGTACTTGTAAAACGTTCATTTGCTTGACTCTCCACTGTGGTAATATTTCTTTTTTTAGCAATAAGATTTTATTGATGATAAACAATACAGCTTAATGTAACAATAAGTCATATAACATATTTTCATATAGTCAAGAGGTCAGATGTCATCTATTAGACTAAGATCCTCCCTGGCACTGGAGATATCGGTAAACCAACATCTTCTGTCAATGGCATATGTTAGAGGTGGAGGTCATTCATGACATTAGTGTCAAAATCGACTATCTGGTTAATAAGGATTAAGTAATTAGAAAAACTAAGAAGAAGAAAACACACACATCAGAGCATAAATCACACATCAAGGGTTCTTGGATGTTCTCACAGTGAGTGTTGGGGACTTGTTAGGGTTCTTTGTGGTGGTGAAAGGGTTGGTAGATGAAAGTGAATTGTGTCTGTATTCGGTCTTAGACTAGGGATATTCGTATGTGGGGTGATTGCGGATATATCTTAGTTGTCTTGGCTGGCTAACAAGGCATATTGTAGCCTGTATTGTTTAAAATGAATGATTGTAATGGTTGTCTTGCGGCGTTTTGGAGGGTACTGTCAGAAAGCCAGAGCCAGAGTTCGAGTGTCGCCATCTGCGCATGCGCAGGCGCCTGTTGTGGACCATAGAGCCATAATAGGAGCAGCGTCTTTGCAAGGGCGTGCACACGTACGTGCGCGTCACACTCACGTTTGTGCATGCCGTGCGCGTGTTTGTGCGCACGAGCACGCGCCGACGTGTCATTTGAACAATTGGCGCCAACTGGGCTATAAAGGCTGTGTTCAGCTATCCTCCTATGCTGTCAGATTGTCAGCTTCCTGTGTTCTGTGTTCCTGTGTTTTCTGTATCCTTATTACCCGTTACCGACCCGGCTTGGACTACTCTCTGTTGTTGCTTGCTCCCTGAAGACCCCAGCTTGTTTTTGACCTTGATTCTGTCTCACCCCTTGTACTGCGTTGCCAGCTCTTTGATGACCTCGGCCTGCTCGACGATCCTTCTGCCTTGTGTGTTCTGCTTCCAGCTTCCTCAGCTCATCGGATCTAAAGCCTTCTGGATCCTCTTCGGTGCATCCGCATACTGCAATGTTCTGCTGCGGAGAGACGCTGTTGGTGAGTTTCCAAAGAATTGGTAATGCTACCCAGGTGTAGTTTAATGGCATCAGCCACAATCTGTGAGATGTCGTTTTTAATGTGGGAAGCCACTTCAGAAGCCAGTTTCTGGTAATCAATGGTGTAACTGTTGGTATTGGATACCACCTCACCTTCAGCCTCAGTGTCTTCTGTATGCATCGCATCTGCAGCCGGCGCCATCTTGGATGTTGTTTCTCCTGCTGCCGTCGCGTCTAGCGATCTCCTTGCGGTTTGTGGGCAGGATATGAAGCGGTCCATTGCGGGCGACTATGACCGGAGAACTTTACGGTATTATCCGGGCCAGTGAAGGATGTGATACGGGCGGCGATTGGCGGTTCGGCGGGACGGAGAGCTCGTGGATGCCTCTACCTCATCAGGCGCCGGAACCGGAATTGTGGTAATATTATGTCTTATTTTGAACTTAGTGTCAGATTTTAAACACATCAAATCCACCTCAACCAATTATTGGAGAAAATCCACAGCAGAAAGTCTGGATTAAATATTAATATTTAAAATATCTGGATACTAGTACTTGTCACCCTTAAGAAAATGGCCAGCATGTGGGCCAATTATTTCATTTGCTGCTGTTTCTAATGCTAACTGTTCTAATTGTAGCTTAAAGTGATATTAAAGCCAATTATGTTTTAATTTCTCCTTTAAGGAGACCCTCCTTTGGTGAAGGCTGTTGCTTTTTTTCTTTAAACATTTTTCATTTCTCATTTTCTAATGGGTCCCTACCATGCTCTTCCCCCCGCCCCCTGCACGGGTGCCACTATTGTTCTAATGGAGGCACCTGTGCGTGCTCGTGCCCGCAGCGGCTGTGTGCGTCCATAGACACACACACAGCCCTGTGGCCGGCCACGCCCCTTCCCTCTTTGATTGATGGCAGAAGGAGCCTATGGCTCCTCTGCCATCAGAATCCTCACCCCACAACCAGGAAGTTCAGGGAACGGAGGATCGCTTCAGGACCGGCGGTGGGGACAAGTGCAGCTGACAGGTAAGTGTGGGGGAGACTGGGGTAGAAAAAAGGTGTGGGGCGTTTTTACCCTAATGCAGAAAATGCATTAAGGTAAAAAACACCCAGACCTTAATACTACTTTAACACACTGGTCCTGAAACTCAAAGGTGTTATTCACTGATTCCTCATGAATATCAACAGAGAATATATTATCAACCTCATGGCCATAATGCTTACGCAATAAAATGTTGAACAAAAATCTATTAACATTTAGTAATTTTGATGAGTTAAATAATAATGATTTTTTTGCATGCTTTTGCATGTTGCCTTAGCTCAATAATGTGAGCCTGGCCTTAACCTTTATTTCAATTTATGGTTGTGGTTTTCAGGGTTTACAGATTGTTACAGACCTTTTATTTGTGTACTCCCTCTAAATAAATAGTAAGTATGTGAAAGCTTAATTAACCTCTTGCCGTCCGCCCGTAGTAGAAAAACGGACGGACGGCACTGCTGCATAGGCGGGTTGCCGTCGCCAGACGGCATTTTTTTTCTGCTCGCGCGCGCCCCCCTAGCGGGCACGCACGGGCAGAAAAGACCCGTCCAATGCAAACACCCGGTACCGGGTGTTTCACATATAGGCGATCAGCGGGTCCATAGCCCGCCGATCGCCTATATGTGCTCGTTCGCGGCACCCGGTCGGCGCTGCCATTTTTTTTCCACCCCTTGACCCCTCACCTTGAATCCCGGGATCCGCTGCCCCATCTTGGATCCCGGGACCGGCTCCGAGGGCGTCAGGAGGAGGAGGACGGGAGATCAGCTCCTTGCTGATCTCCGTCCGGGCTGTGAATGCAGAAGTGATGTGTATTACATCACTTCCGCATTCACCTGTCAGTCATCTGGCTGCTATAGCCAGAGAGAAACAGTACAGCGCTGCATGACGGAATAAATGTCAGTCAAAGTACC